TGCAAGACAAACAAAACCCTTAGATGCAACTCCTTAAAAACTTCCATCTTTTTCCAGGATCATGAAGTTGCCTCCCTAAGCAGCAGTGTTAGGCTATGAAAAGTTAATTTTGGTTTAAAGAATTGCTTGCCCAGTACCACATGTGGTACTACTTTCCATAGTATTATTATGTAAGTAGTACGGAAAGTTAAAGTTTCTGCCTTAAGTTCTTTGTATTATCAATGTTCATACAAAGAAGAACTTAAAGAAGGAAATGTAGCTTTCCATAGTACTTATGTTCCAATCTCTCTTCTCTTCTCTTCTCTTCTCTTCTCTTCTCTTCTCTTCTCTTCTCTTCTCTTCTTTTCTCAGGTTTTCTTGCACTTTTTATTGTTTCTTTCCATTCTCTTCTCTTTCTCTAAGTTTAAATAATTTTATTATAAACTATAATTACAATAGTAAAAATCAATACAAGCTAAAGAAAGGAAGAAGAGTAGAAAGAAAGTGAAACAGGCAAAGGAAAACAAAAAATGTAGAAAATAGGAAAAGAAAGAAAAGTAAAAATATAGTAAAGAAAGAGTAAAATATACCAAGAAATTAATTTGATTTGAATTTCTCTTCTGGTACTCACTTTTCATTTTGTAAATTGATAAACATAAACAATTGCAATATATATTTTTGAAACCATTCTTACTTCACAGCATTTTTTCACACCTGGCTAAAACTTTTGCACAGTACTGTACTTTCAGCATGATGAAGTCTGATATTAAGCCAAGTATGCTTAAAAGTTTAGCACTCTTCAATGACATCTTTTTCATAACCCATTCAAAAGTGGAATACTTTCCAAAGTCAGAAAGTACCTGATTGAAACTCATATGCCATATGATGTCATCATCATAGATGGTGAGCGATTTGCTAGGAAACATCTGGGTATTCAGACTTCCAACTTTATATGAAAGGATCGATTTGGGAAAGTGATCCAGTTTATAACATCATGTTTGGATATTTATTCCCTCTTCTGGTCAAAATTAAGTTCCCAGCTATGGTTAAAACAGACTTTTTTCATAAGATTGTGGACTTGGTTAAAAATAGAGAAACCTCAGTGTTTATAAGAAAGTCTACATGAGGAACATAAGAACTGGTAGTATTTCAAATCAGATCATTATTGTAGTCAGCTGACATTTGCTGGAACTTGCCAAAAGCTAATTTAAAGATGTTTCCCAGACTTCTTTCCTGATATTGACAACATATAATGTGCAATTTAAAACGACTGTGCTTTATTAAGACAATATAATAAGGTGTGGATCTATTCTATGATCACATGAGGTTGTAGAAGCAGACACATTATACTGGTATTTTTTAACACATCATAAAATAAAGAGCTCAATTCTGGTGATTTCTTGAATATAACCATAGATAAATCCATTGCAATTATGCAGAAGGTGTTTGCCGTTGTCACCTTTAATGATATTTTCTATTTTACTTTCCTAGGTCCCTTCCACTAGGATTACCATCTAGGAAGTCCAAGAGGTCAAGCTTACTATGTTGTAGCCCCAGTTCTTTAGAAGAGCTTACTACTTCTTAAATTTTGGGAGAGCCATTAAAACCCAGTTTTTAAAGAAAGCCCTAGGAAGGGATCCAGTATAAGTTAGAATCTCATTTCTGCCTCTGGCTGACATTTTGGCCATTAGTTTCTTATTTAATACAAGAATTGAATGAAAAATAATCCCTCCATTTCCATTACTTTCATTTAAAAAGAGATGTTTTGATAAATGGAATAGGAGAATAATCCTTGAAATTAGCTCTTTCATTACCTATATTTTCCTCTCCACTTAATCACCACCATTTGCTACACCCTTTTGTGAAGAATGATTAAGGCCATCATATATAAACCCCATACTAGGTCCCTTTACCTAGGTCTTGACAGTCTTATCTACCTCTTCATTCAGGACTGTTGCCCACAAAGGTATTGCTTTAATTTGGGGAAAATACTGAGGTTGCATGGTACCCAGTCTGGACTATATGGTGGATGGGGTAAGATGGTGAGATGCAACTTCACAAGTAACTCTTGGGTGCTCATGAGGAATAAGAAATAGCATTGCCTTGCTGCAA